TAGGCCCCCACAGAGCCCCATAGACCCCTCATAGAGACCCCATAGAGACCCCATAGGCCACCACAGTGCCCCACAGACCCTATAGAGACCCCCCATATCCCCCATAATCCCTTGCGCCTCCCATGATGCACTGGGGCCACCCGGCGCCATTTTGTGCCCCACCCGCCGCGCCCCACCGCCCCCAAACGACCCCCGTGACCCCTTCCCGGTGACCACGTGACCTCCCATCCCCCCCCTCCACCGCCTTACCCCTCTCCGTTCTCCGCTCTTCTCTTCCCGCGGCGGCCGGAGTCCTCCAACATCCCGTCAACCCCCGCGAGCGCCAAACTGCGCATGCGCTGAGTCGACGGCCCGCCTCTCTTCCCCGGTACTGCGCATGCGCAGCACCCGCGAATGGCGAGTCTTAACACTGCGCATGCGCTCGGAGCGCATCACGGCGGCTGCGCATGCGCGGTTGCCGCGTGGGTGGGGCTCCTGCGCCGTGTGCGCATGCGCCGCGGCGCTACCTACTGATTTCTCTCATTTGCGCACGCGTGGTTGACACGGATACCGCGCATGCGCAGTGCTGGGAAAGGGCAGGCTCCGCTGCGACGCCGCATGCGCACATCTGGCTGCGGCTGCGCCTTCTCAGTGCGCATGCGCCTAACCAGCCGCGCGGTCGTGCTGCACGTGGAGTTCGAAGGACGCGGTCGCCGTGGAAACGGCGCATGCGCATTGGTATCCACGTGGCGCAACCCCAGTCTACGCATGCGCAGAACGTTTGCATGGAGACGGCGCATGCGTAAAGTACCCAGCGAGACTGCGCGGGGTGAACCGCGCATGCGCTGTGTATCGGCGCGCGCTTCCCACCACCCCGCGGCCTTATGACGTCATCTTTCCGCGCCAGAGAGACGCGACAAAATGGCGGCGCCCTGCGAGGAGGATCCGGAGGCGGCGGAACGGGGCTGTGTGTCACCCGCGGGACCCCGGCGAGCCCGGCAGCTGCTTCATATGAGCGTTCTGTCTCAGAGCCCTTCCCCTTGCGGGAGGTATTTGGCTGCGGGGAATAACTACGGCGAAGTGGCGATTTTCGGGTTGGCGGCGGCGCTGGGAGCCGGGGCTACAGAGGAGAGCAAAAAGCCGCTGTTCTGCTTCCGGGGTGAGAGGTCGTTGGGGGTGGGGGATTTTGGGGGGGGGAGGAGAAAGCGGTCCCGGGGTTATGGTGGAGGGGTGGACCCACAATGCCTTGCGGCAGCCAACATGGCGGCCGGGGCTCCCATCATTCCCATTTGCCCCGTTTCCTTTGGCCACGCCCCCTCTCAAGCGGTTGGCCACGCCCACTTTGACCCCGTGACCCCTGTCTCCCGCTCTCTTTGACCTCCGACCCCTGACCCCAAACTCTTTGGACATGTGACCCCTAAGCTCGCTCCCATTGGCCCTGCCCGGACTCCTCCCTGTTTGACCTCTGACCCCTGACCTCATTCTTTCACCCTGTTCCCTGTGAACCTGCTTTGACCCCAGCTTGACCTCTGACCCCTGACCCCACCCCCTTTAGCCCCGCCCTTTAACCCCAACTCCATTGACCCCCACTCCAATTGGCCCTGCCTTGACCCCTGACCCC